AGAATAGAATAGAATAGAATAGAATTAGGCCTTTAGTGGAATTGTTCATGGACAACGAGATTATGGGTGCATTCCCGTTAAATATGCAGCAATTAAAATATAAATAGTAAGACAGCAGAATGAAATAACAAACAGGAGAAATGTAAACGCAGTGTTAGAAACACATTCTTATTATCTTTGGTTACTTCCTGTTTCTTTGGATGCGTTCACATGTTTCAGGAATTATCAGCTCTGACAGCTAAAACTGAGAAACATTAGAATCTGACAGTGAGGGGAATCCCAGCTTCCAGTGTGAAAGTGATAGTTTGAGTTTTGCACTCACTGTATGATTGCTGTAAAAGCGCGTGGTAAACGTGCTCAGTGGCGTTTTTTAACATAAATAAACAGTATTTATTTACAGTTTCCATTTGTGTGCAGGTGAAATGAGCAATGAGAACTGAAGATGACTACTTGTAATAGTAGTCAAAGAGAACAGTGAGAGCCCAAAGCTATAGGAGACTATTAAACCATTTATATTTGGTGTAAACACGTGTAAATGATCTTTGATACAGAAACTGTATCTGGGAGCGGCATCATCCCTTTAGATGCAGCAGCGTTGCCATAAATCCCTTTGTGCACCTGGCTTTAGTTTGTCATGTAGCTTGACTCTGTTTCACTAAAGCAGTTGAACACTACAGAGCTGATGTTTATTAACAACCCCACTCTATCAAACTAGAAACTGTTGGAGCGAACTCGAGCTCGCAGAGAGAACCTCCAGAAGAAACTCGCAGAAAGAAGCAATGCAGCGAACAGACAGGTGGTGAAAAGGCCTCGAGAGCCACTGACTGACACAAACGTTGTGATCAGCGAGTCTCTTATTGATAAAGGTAGGAGCCCCTTTAGTGTTTTGGCACTTTAACCTCTGAGCTGCAGCTGTCTTGTGTTTGCTTAAATCTCTTTATTGTGTTCAGTGCCCCAGATGTCCACGAAGCCGTCTCCCTCGAAGCGTAAGTGCTCTGGAGAAAATGTCCAACCTGCAGCTGATGAAGAGAACCAGGAGCCGGTGATGCCACAAGCTCCTCCCCTCTCAGATCCTCCCACAGACAAAAAGCCCCCGGTGGGTCCAGCCAGCATCCGGCCTTTCTCCTCCTCCTCGGAGAAGACTTCGGGAAAGCTTGTTCTGCAGTCTCAGTCAGTGCAGCTGAAAGCAGAACGCCCAGAACCCGACAAGGTGGCCGTCTGCACTGCTCTTGTTCCTCCGAGCAGAACAGAAGCACAGATAGCAGTCGCCAATCCAGCTGAGAGTAACAAAGAGGATCCAGCTCCATCTGCTGCCGGCATGAAATCACGCTTAAAACACCTGGCAGAGCAGAGGAAGTGCTGGAACACTGACGGTAACAGTTTCCTGCTGTTTCATTTACATAAAACGAGTTAAAATTTACAGGAAGTTATTAACAGGACTTCAGGAGGGGGCGGGGCAAAATGATCATAAATAAATAAAAATTAGTCTGAGACAAGAGATCACCATCCTGAGATAACAACAGCTGAGGGAATCTACATGAAATCGGCTCAACCAATAAAACATCAAACTCCGGACACACTGAGGTTGATGAAGCTCGTTCCTAATTCAGATCAAGCAAACGGCTCAGCCACGAGACAGAAAAGCACAGCAGCCTCCTCCCATCGACAAAAACAAAGCTAAAAAATCCATGTTTGAATCCAGCTGACTGGATGTTTTGTTCCACAGTCTGTAGCTCGTGGTGACTAAGTGCTTGTCCACACCAAAGGTGACTGCACGGGTCGCCTGACAGTCAGTCAGCAGTTTTATCAATAATCTGAACAAGTCGGTGACAACTCGAGGACTGAACTGCTGCCAGCTGGTTGTTTTCTTATGGAGCAGGAAGGTGCTGAGTGCAAATGTTAAATGTGAATTTCTGTCTATGTAGTAGAGGTGGGAATCACCATACATCCCTCGATAC